TATATTTAGTTCCATATATGTGTACTTAACTAAATGATTAATTAAAACTACATCCTGTTCATAAATAAATTAAAAATTAAGTTCGCTATGTACACAAGTAAAATGTTGAATCTGCAGTAAAACACTGGCTGAGCCTACCAGGCAAGTTGCCAATTGGGCTAATGAACACGGCTTATAGTACAGCTAGCTCTCGCCTGCGGCTCCGTCCGTATATTTTATACATATAAAATCCATGCTTACAAATTGAACTATATTAGATAGTTTAAAAAAATTATCAATAAATAGGCTATAAAAGCAATAAGGATGTTTCAAATATGACTGATAATATTAAAAATTCACGCGTTTAAAAAAAACCTTTCTGTTATTCTATATATATATAAATCGATGTGTGTATGTATGTTCTTTATGGACTCCAAAACGGCTGGAGCGATTTCGATTAAATCAAACAATTAGCTAATCGGGTGGTCCTGTGAAGTTTGGTAGCGACCGGAAGTTTAAATGCGTGCGCAGCCGCGGATGTTGCTAGTATTATAAAAATATCTTTAATATTTTATACTAGTATTGCCCTTGGCTCCACCCGTGTTCAGATGACCAAAAACCAAATTCTTAGGTTTTACATATTAGTATACTGTTACAATGCAGTTTTTGTATTATTTCTCAGAAATGAGACATTTTCCCACGGTAAAAGTATCCTATATTATGTTGACTCGGATAACCAGCTATCAAAATACCAAATTTCATCAAAATCCCTCCAGTGGTTTTTCTGTGATGCGGTAACAGACAGAGAGACAAACAAAAATTCTAATAACTATAGATTCGGCAACTGTATCGATATTAATGTTTATTTTAATAAGATTTTCGAAAAAATATTTAAAGTACAGATTCGGCTTAGTTACAATTTTATTATACTTATGTATAGGTCTATAATGAATACTCTAATACTATTTGCTAGTCTATTTGCTGTCTCAGTCATGGAGTTTGGACTGTACGCTAATAGCTTTAAAAGATGACATCACAATTGTCCTGAACATATTCAGAATTAGCTATTCGCTTCCTACGAACTAGAACGAAATTGGATAAACCTTCTGAATTCCAATTTGACAATTTATTTTATTACACCTATGCCAATTTAGTTCGATTTTTGTAACTGTAGTGCAGTGGCTTGCGTCTAGCGCTACGTGTTGCGTCGATAATAGCGGATTCAATATTTTTAAATGTATCATATATAATACTAAATGGGAAACATACATCATGTTCGGAATAAGAGATCAAAAATATTGTATATAATTTGAAAATAACTTATTTCTCTTTTAATGTTCAACATCAAAATCTAAAAGTCCAAAAACTTCTAAAATTTCATAAATTACGCGGACTCTACTCGATTTCAATTGAAAATTGCCAATAACGTTATATTGCTCTAATAACAACATATAGGCTGAATAATAGCAATCGTTATGAAATAATACACATTTTACAAAAAATACCGAGAAACACAAAACAGCGAAAGATCCCACACGAGGAGGCAACATCATATTAAAAATATTTGCAGTTTTGCAGTACATTTCACAAATACTTTGTAACTAACTGTTTGGCATTTAGTTTAAACTGAGAGATGGATTGAATATCTCAAAGAGTATCTAGCGACAATTAAACGTGATATAGTTCTATTGCCCGAGCAGTTACAACGATGTCAAGGACGCAGAACGCAAACGTTCTTATTGGCCGAGTAATAACGAACAAAATTGATTTTAATCGAATATTTATTTAATCATCAGAATACTAACAAAATGTCTAAAAAGATTCTTTTCTATATTTTCATACATTTGATATTCTTCAAATACTTTAATTTTCATGATCGAAATATGCCGATTTATAGTCAATGTATCATTTTATATCTATTCCGGAGAAGTCCGGAGATAAAACTTTTATGTACAATTTTTTCGCGGAATTATTGAGATTTTTGGTTCCCGACGATTAGAATGCTTTACAGCAATCATGGTCACGGGAGAGATTAAGGTTTTACACGTCTCAAAGTTAATTATATGTTGTTACATGAAAAGTAAATCCGCAAAAGTACCCGAAAAGATAATTTTATTTAAAACTAACGATTCACCCTCGCTTTGCTCGGGTTCGTCTCTAGCTTGTTCCCCAATACAAACTTTCATCCCCATTTTCACCCCCTTAAGAGATGATTTCCGGGAAGAAAATTATGTATCCTATGTCCCTCCCAGGGTCTCAAACTATCTTCTTACCAAATTTTATCTAAATCGGTTCAGTAGATCCAGAGATTACCTCCTACAACCTCACAAACTTTACCTCTTTATAATATTAGTATAGACTAGCACCTCGGTGGTGTAGTGGTTATCGTGTACGGCTGCACACCCGGAGGTCTTGGGTTCGAGTCCCGGGTCGGGCCAAGTTTAGTTATTGAGTCTTTCTGTATAGTAAGCCTCAGTAACAGCCCGGAGTGGGGAAGTTGGCGGTGTTTCACCCCCGTGCCACGGAGAGCACGCAAAGCCGTCGGTCCTGCGCCTTAACTCTCACTGGTCGTGTCTATTAGTCGTCCCACCGGAGTATGAGAGTGACAGGAATAGAGAGTGCACTTGTGTCTGCGCGAACACTTGTGCACTATTATATCTCCTGCGGAGTTGGCTAGTCGCAATGAGATTGGCCGCCGTGGCTGAAACCGGTCAGGAGAACATCATCATCATCATAGACTAGCGACTCACGCTCGCTCTGCTCGGGTTCGTCCCTAAGATTCATCCTTAGAAGTACAAATATGCCTAATATGAACGAATTTCAGAACCTCATTTTTTTTCGTTGTCCGCTTCAGGTGGAATGCTCCAGATGTATTAGTATACAAATATGTATGTATATGTATTATACACAAGTGTTTTCTCTATTTCTTTCATTTTCAAAGATGATCGCAACAAATCAAGCACAAGACTTGGCTTTTGCGGAACTGAATTTGGTTTTAAAAATTTTTGAGGTCTTGCTTAAAGACATGAGTTGTATTTCTGGCATTTTCATGTATATTTTTGAGCATTCTTTCGTAACTTACTATGTCGTCTCGTGCCGTAACCTTTTGTACATTTTTCTTCAAATCCAAGCCCAACTTTCTAGCATTGAATAAAGTTATTTATAAGCATTATAGTAATACCCGATATTGAGCGTGACGTGGTTTCGATGATATTGCAATATGTTTTGTTTTACGACTTGTACGTGAGTGAGAGAGCACCAAATCTATAATATTGATACTTGAAGCGACGTTTGTGGGTTTCTTAAAAAAACGAATGAGTTCCAATCCCTATAGGCTAGGCAGTTCCCGTGGTATTAAAGGCATGCCAGTTTCTCTTCTACATTTTGCCCCCGAAGATGATATGTTATTAGTTACGGAAAAGTTAAGATTACATAAACTGCTCATTTCTGCAAATGCGACCTTTAAACACGTACACGCATAGTAGTAACGTGAATGAAGGAAAGTCTATATTCATAGCATTTACAAACATCGATAATTAAGACGTTTTGTTATTGGTATCGTTCAGACGCAGTGGAGAGAAACAATGCTAATTCAATGATGCCTTCTCTTGCGGATATTCCGTCGGTATCAGCTTGAAACGAATGCGTTATGGAATATTTTAATTTTTGTCGGGTCGGTAAGTCTTACGATCGGTTCAAGATATCCACACTAATATTATAAATGTGAAAGTGGTTTTGTTTGTTTATTTCTTTTTGTTTGTTTGTCCTTCTTTCACGACGAAACAGAGTGACGGATTGGCGAGATTTTTTGTGTGGACATAGTTTGAGGGCTGGAGAGTGACATAGACTACCGAATTTTTACCGCGGGAGATTATCTCATTTAAAGTACAAAAGACCCGCTCAGCTTTAATGTAACTTTAAAAATATTTGAAGTTTAATTATTTAAAAATAATTAAAATTTAATTAACAATTTATTAACTATGAGATAATTTTTCTCGATTTGTTGTCTCTGGGACGTTAATTCGCAGTTATTGTGCTAATTGTTTTTGGTCGTGTTGTTTAATCATTTAATATCATTTACAATAAACTACATCGACAACATCTCCATTATATGTATTATATTATATATACATTAATGCTATACTAAATACAATTTTGCGAGGTTTCATATTAAACGAAACATCGAATCGCTCATGTTCATTATTTTTATACCACTGAATATTGTCCGAAAAGTTGTACATATTAATAATGTTCTCAGTAAAAACAATAATTCGAATATTTCGAGTTTTAATTTGTGGTCCTGTTTGTTAGATACAAATTTTATCCAATTAAATTAAAGTTTCACTGTTATTTGAAAAACTAGAGCATTTTAGTACTTACGTGAGTAAATGATACAATTTGCAACTAGAAAACCTAAGGGAGCTTTTCTTCGAATGCAATATATATTTCAGTGCGAGATAGCCGTATTCAGTATGTAAAAGGAATTTTAAAGTTGCCGCCTTCTCAATGAGAAATACACCTGAGGTTACGCGATACGTGCTTTTCACTATATCAGCTATAATTTGATGTTGCGCTAAAAATAATATTTCAATTGCACTAGTAGAGAAATTGTAAGTTAGATTTCATATTATAGGTATTATTTAAATTTTAATACTAGAGAGTAGCGACTCACCCTCGCTCTGCTCGGGTTCGTCACTAGGTACGTTTTAACTTTTGGTATACCTAGATTTCTCAGAGATCTTAATTACATCTTCATTACAGCCATCGAAATATATATTTTATAACTTGATTAGACATAATATATAAAAAAAATGTTGAACCAAAGCATTAGCGTAACGATTTACCATTGCATATAATTCGGTAGGTAAACACAATACCGTGAAAGTACACAAGATATTCTATAAACATTCAAACAGGTAATTTTGGGTATTGCCCGCAATGTTTATAACGAAAACGGTGATAAGTATGTATTATAAGTAGATAATATAAGTGTATCAATAGGTAAAAATGTGAGTACTCACTCTTCGGGGAGAGTCGGGGCGCCCTCTTCCTGGCCAGGAGCATTCACGTGGTACACGCAGAAGTTCTCCAGTAGTGCGCGCATGTCCACGTAATTGAAAAATGGCTGAAAGCTCGTATCTGCAACACACAAAACGTCAACCGTATCAAACCAACATCTTAAGTTGTCTTATCAATCTACGCACTAGAGCTATATGTACTTTCGCATTTTTTTATTATAGTGTTTGGTGAGAGCCTGCTTAGATATAATACAGATTATTTTTGTATAATAACTAGTATCTCATAAAACTGTTCTACCTAATATAATATTGCAAATGCAACTATCTTTTCTGATTTTTGCCCGATTTGTTTTGATTTTTGTAGGTAGGTGTTGCCTGTAACAACTATATAATGATCTTTGAGACGTCTTAAACCTTAGTCTCTATCATGATGCTGTAAAGCAATCGAAACGTCAGGAACCAAGTATCAAAATAAATCCGAGAAAAAATCCGAAAAGATAGTTTTATTTAAAATGTCAAATATTTGCGTAAATTCTAGAAAGTATTATTTATTATAAAATATATTCTATATTCCATATAGATGCTGTTTGTGAAGAGAAATAAAAAAATAAAAAAAAAACACACGAGAACCAAATCCTGGCCGATTAGGCGAGGTATGATTAAGCATTTTTCTGCCGTTAGTTTATTCACTTTGTCACATTTGTTTGTATTGTTTAAATTTAATGAGTTCGTTACAGCTTTAATTATGACTTCGCAATGCGGGGTTGGTGTAGCAAGTTTTGCAGGTCTGGGCAATCGCGGGGCAGACAGCAGCTAGCATAGGCTTGCTACGGGTTAATGGCCGCGAACAAAAGTACAACACTCGACAATTATAAACGTTGAGATGTTTTTAATTGGATGCATTTAAACTGTGTTATTAAAATTTCTTTGAAAACGCTGGCACGTAAGAAAATAGAGGCTTTTGGATAAGTCCAAAAGTAAATTTTGTTTAAATATTATAAATTGGTGCATTAAAAGTTAGAATCGATTTGCGATATAATATTTATCGAGTTGCAAATAAGGGCGGAATTACAGGAGGGAAGAACAGAAGAAAAGTTAACAAATCGCTTTTCAATTTGAATAAAACTGCTATCCATAATGTATTTACGTGTGTCTCGCCCTACTTTGGGAAAGTTCAAGTCAATAATCATATTGGCTTGTGTTCTTTCAGTTTGTGCTAGCATAATTATTAATGTTAGTTTGTTGTTCGACGCTAAAAACTTGCAATGGTCGCTTAGATATTAATGTGATTAAATTTGTTTGTGGCGTGGAAAAAGTTTATCTGAGCAATTTGGTCGTGTACCCAAAGGATCAGTTTGTTCTTCCTACAATAAATACTCACTGGTCTTAAAAAAAACTCTATTATATTGGTAAATATTAAAAGTAACGTATCACATCATGATAAGGACACCACGACGCGCTAACTTGTCCTATTTTCCACCATAAACTATTAAAAAATATCTAAAATCCTTTTAAAACGAAATAAATAAATATATCGATGGAAAATTATGAATTTAAAGATGTGAACATAGTATTTTAACTAATAATAGCTCTTTTATTTTAATTACTACGTTTAGAACCATTTTCTAATTTTAATTATTAAATGTTCGATTTACTAAAACACGTACATACTAAAAGTTTAAATGTTCAAAGTAATCTTGAATAACTCGTAAGGCCATTTTTGTACACACACGGTTCACGTATCAACGGCGGTTGTTTTAACGGACGTAGGTAGATCTTTCTCATGTACACGGTAGCTGCTGTCCGTGCCGTCCGTACGTTTACCTATACTAATATTATAAAGAAGAAAGATTGTTTGTTTATTTCTTCGTTCGCACCGAATAAGCTCTGAAACTACTGAACCGATTGAGATGAAATTTGGTAAGAAGATGGTTTGAGACCCTGGGAAGGACATAGGAGCGTTTTTATGCCGGAAATCATCACTTAAGGTAGGTTAAATAAAACGACTGTGTCGTGCCCGTGTTCGCGTTCGTATGTACGATTTGGAATAACGCAACTGTCATACCAGTGCACACGAGGTAGCGTAAACATATTATTATTATTATATTGGGTGTGTGCCGAGGTCGGCCCTAGCTACGTCGACCAGTTATGGTCTATTGTAGCTCCCTTTGGAATGAATTAAAGTTCTCCGCTTAGTCCTGTTGACTCCAGGAACTTCCAGATTTTCTGAGCAGGGAGCATCTGTATCTCTTCCGGTTGCATAATATGCTGCCCTAGATAGATACTTCTGCGGTGCATGAGTGGACCGCACGAGCAGAGGATAGCGTAAACATAAACTTTATAGTCAATTTTTGCCACTTCGGCAAAAACAATGACACAACAAAACAACATGAAACTCTTGAACAGTATAATACGCTTTGCTCAATAAGATAATTATAATTTTATCTCTAAATTTTTGATAAGGTAAATCTAGGACATTTTGTGGAATCTTATTATATATGCGCATAACATTAGTATGTCTTTATACAAACGAGCGATTAGCGAATAATTTATGTATGTAATTGGAGTAAAGGAAAGGACATTTATCATACAATTAGAGTTTATTCTAAAATGCTCGCGTGACAAGACCTTATTGTAATAAGGTCAGTGTTATATGTGTAATTCAAAATGTCCAGTTCGTATCAATTAAACTCATGCTATATTTTATAATTCAAGAATTATTGTGTTTATTTCAGTTTGTAGGGAAGAGTGTCTTGTCTTATTAATCTTACTTAATATTATAAATGTGAAGGCTCAGATGGATGTTTGGATGTTTGTTACTCAATCATGCCAGAACGACTGAATGGCATAGTGATAAATTATAGTCTGGAATAGCACATAGGCTACTTTTTATCCCGGAAAAATGTACGGTTCCCGTGGGATAGATATATTGTAATAATAAAGAAAAGAACAAAACGTTACGGCGTGTTTAGTTCAGGACGATTTGTTAAGTAAAATAAGGGTTAATTTTTTTAATTAAAACAGTAGCTACTGCTAGTTAAGAAGGATAGTTCTTTCAGCCGAGAAAATTCAAAGGGCATTTTTACTTTCAAATATTTAAAACCGAAAAAAAAAACTTTGACGCAAATAGATACTCCTCTTATATCTGGTTCTTTGGACAGCACCGTTCGTCTGTTTGTACCTACCTTGTCTATGAAAAAACTGAGCCGATTCTAACGAGATTTTCACTAGCAGAGGAAAAAGAAATAGCTGAATATAAGTATTAATATCCGGAGTAAATATTGATACAATAAGAACTTCTTATACAGTTTTTTCATTGGTATTTACTAATTACCATAATAATGTCTATTATATAAATTCCTAGTTTTCGCCAACAGCTCCACCCGTTGAATTCTATTTATTTCTCTACTACGACATGTATAAGCATACAGAAAAAGGAGTTCACGTTGTATCTTTAGATCTACTCAGCTGAACTTAAAAGTAATGTTGTTGTTTTTTTATTCCAACTATTTTTGTACACTAAACAAAGGTTCCATTAAAATCTATTCAGCTTTATTCAGAGAAGATTCTTATAAAGCTCTTCCATTTACTGACCGATAGTTACAGCGCAGTAAGCCAGCAAAAAGCATGAAATTTTCAATCAAAGTTATTTATATAACAAAAAGATTATTGATAGCATGTTTCTCAATTAAGATGAAAGTTAGTTTATTGTTGTAAATAAAATTATTTTAAGTTTAATCTTTGGGATCCTATCAGTGTTTGTCATATACAATAGATCATAAAGCACGATGGTGTTTTAAAAAGACGGTAATTAGTTGCCACATATCAAGGAAACTGCATAAAATCATTTTTATTATAGTTTGTATATACCTATAATATACTAGCGACTCACCCTCGCTTCGCTCGGGTTCGTCCCTGGGATGATTCCACATACAAACTTTGATCCCCATTGTCACCTCTTTAAGGGATGATTTCCGGAATTCAATAATGACAAATGAAAATGCGTCATTTTGCATATTAATTGGCTCCTTTAAAACAAAACATGTAAAATTAAACCTGTAAAAAGTTCTTTTTGTATTTTTATTTCACTAGTTCCATACAAAGACTCGCTTCCATTATTGCCTAACAAGAAATCAGAAGTGAAGTAGTGTTTACCGAACGATCTCGATAGCATTTGAAAGGTGACTGAGCCAAGTTTTCTTCAAAGACTGAGCACTCTAATATTAAAACTGAAGTCGATCAAGATTGCTTGAGATTCTGAAAGCGGGTGTAATAAAATTATTAAACGCCTTCTGGTATCCTAGCGGCGGGAAACACGCGTAAAGTTATTCCGTTGTACTTTATATCGAATGGAATTTGAACGAGTCAACGAATGAAAAGACCCTATTGAAAGCTATTGAAGCGAGTACCCTAGAATGCCCTTTCAGGGGTGCGGCTAATAATGGCAGTTTACTTTCGTAAGACGCCGCTACGTGGAGATCGTGAAGCAATTTTACATTTTTCGGCGTGTTGACTTAATTATCGCCGTTGAGAATGGCGCTACTGATTGCTACAGCTTTGAGAAATTCGGTAAAAGCATAAATAGGTATAACTAAATATTATATGATTTAATATAAAGATTTTACTTAATTTTATGACTATGCGTTTAAGAATAAACCTTTAAAAGCAGTTAGTTGGCTTAACAATGATAATGGGGTAGTGGCAAAATTGGCAAACCAATCATTCACCTCATTCAGAAGTAGAAATACATTCGATTTGCGAATAATTTACGTGTAAATGAATGTAACTGATTTATTATGTTGGGAAATGCATTTAGGCATAACACCTGCATACATACAGGTGATTATGTGGGACTCACCGGCAAAGCCAGTACTGACCACTAATAACCAACGGAATCTCCCTTGTCTTAATGGAGCGTCGCAGGACCGCTTACGCACTCGACCACGACGGCTCGACGGTAGGTCTGCCGAAGCATACCACAATAGCTATGGGGTTGTTCCAGCACTCCACTCTGCTGTGAGAGCGCGTTTCTTGGCTTCGCGCCCGACTGAATTGCCGGACGCGAATGAGCCCTCCCAAAACTAGGTAAACACACATTGAGGGGGATCAGCTAATTCACCT